AATTTGCATAAAATTTGTTGTCTGCAAGGAGGAAAGTTGATTTTGGGCCTTTTCTTTGCTGTAACATTGCTGGAGGCTGAGCTTACAGTTTTTAAAAACTAAAGCACTGTATGTAAATGTCTCGAGCCAACTTCCAAGGAGTCAGACTTTAATGTGGTCATAAGTAATAGGATTTCTGAGGGTTCGAAGTTTTTCTTTGGACATTGGTCACTTTATCACTTATTTCAGTCCAGTTCTCATATCTGACCATTTTTTGAACCACTCAACACTGTTCTATGGATCATTGAAATGTAATGGGCACTTAACTCAGAGAACTGGTGTTGTGTCTACACATAATAGACAACTATCTTTAGGCACTTGTAATTAGCAACCTATCATAAAAACACAATTTGTTTCAATTGCTTTAGTTAAATCTAGCAAAAAAAAAAAAAAAAATAAAATACATACAGTTTGATGGGCATACATTTTTTTTGTCTGAGGCTAAGCTAATGATTAAAGAACTGGATTGAAAATCAGTAACAACAAGTCTTACGTTTTTGTGTAGGCAGGAGTTCAGGAGGTGATTGTCTATAGCTATCTATAAAACATGGTGGATGCTCTCATGGCTTGAACTGCATTTCAGCCAGTGATGTTGGTGATTTTGTCAAAAGTGATGAAATAATGACGGCATCAGATTTTGATCCAATATGCAATAACATTTGTCTGATTGGCAAATGCTCAATTTTTCAGCATGACAATAGTCACAAACAGACTGCCAATGCCGTAAAAGCATACCTCGATAGAAAAACACTGTCATTCATGGATATTATTATTATTATTATTATTATTATTATTATTATTATTATTATTATTATTATTATTATTACATACGGATCTTTTGGTGGAGCTTTTACATTTGAATGAGCATAAATAAATAAATAAATAAATAAATAAATAAAAGAAAAAACATGGGGTATCAATCGTAAAGTTGACTTTCTGTTTGATTATCATTCGGTGCTGTGTCTTGCTAATGTTGCCCTTATCAGAGCATTTTAAGGCTGAGTAAACTAACTGTGAAATAAGAATCGTTGTTTAAAGCGTTTAGCTGCCCCCTCGGGGCTCATTAGAATTGACGGGTGAGTGGGTGCTGCTGGGTGTAATGTTCCTTTAAAGAGCGCTGCCCCCCGCAGCGTCGTCATTGCGCAGAGCAGTTTGAACCAAAAAGCGGAGTGACCTTCCTCCGCTCTCAGTCTGAGAGGGGCAGCACTGAAGCAATAAGCCGGTCACAGCTCCCGCGGTCCCCCCGCTTTAGCTTCAGAAATGAACAACAACTTAGTCGGAGATGAAGTCGGGTAAGATCGGTTTAACAGAGCCGTGCACGGCATCCATGCGGAACCGTGAATCTGTTTGTGACTTTCTGTTAGAGCGCTGTGTTGTCAAGCTGTCAGTTGACAGCTAACGTTAGCTAGCAGGCTAAGCTAGCCTGAGTAACTTAGCGAAGTCGCTAGCCTGAGGAAAGGCGGCCAAAAAAGTGAAAGTAGTCTTCAAAGTAGCTCAGCCTTTGGTGCCACAGCTCATGGAGAAATTTACCATGTTTGTGTGAAGTGCTACCACTTGTCAGACGAGTACACGGAATTGTAGTTAGTTATTTCTGTGTTGTTTTCGGTTAGCTCCAAGCAACTGAGCTAGTTGAGCTAACGCTTGCCAGCGAAGCGAAAGTCTCCGTTCCTGACTTCGTCGGTGCGAGGACATTTAGCGGGCACTGCTGGAGGATGGAGCATCCTCGTGTGTAGCCAGTCTTCACTTTTCCCACGGTCGTTACAATTGTCATTTGTGTGTTTCAGCAGTGATCCGAGGCACACATTAACGAACTCGCTAGCGCATTTGACAGAAGTACCGTTTGAACTGCCGCTAAACTTCCAGTTATGCAGGCATCATCCGAGTTCACTGGTCCGCATGCGGAGAGCCGAGCAACCGCTCGTTGCTCCGCTCATAGATGGAAATACGGATCTCAGCGTTGAAAGGTGATAGACACGGGCTGTCGTGGTTTCGGAACTCAGTTTGTGTTAGCCTGCTAGACGCCAGGGCTCTGTCCCGGGTAACTTACGTGGCAGGAGGTTTATAAAAAGCCCTTTATTGTCGAGGCCATTGCCTTGAATGTTAGAAGACCAAAGTGACATCCATAGCAAGGACTAGACCTCAACATGAGTCACACTAAACACGGACATTTTAACTGTAGCTGTACTGTGGATATAACCAGATGCTGCATTGGTAGCAGGCTTGCCTGATGTTGTGTAATAGCTGTGTTCCTGGCTGTTTAATCAGCTGTGCTTTCAGCCTGTGCAGGAGAGCTTTCATTTTTTTTAAATCATGCCTTTCATATGTGACTCTGTCCTGACGATTTCCAGATTATCATTTAGTCTGGCTCAAAGTGATGATCAGTGCTCACTTAATGGTCACATCTCCTTTCAGGAAACTTTTTGTGGGTGGATTGGACTGGAGTACCACACAAGGTATGTCACACGGTTTCACCCATGAAGGCTTATTTATATAATTCAACCCTTTCTGCATTGCACTGTTCACGCTGCCTGGTTGTGTATCAGAAATTAGTTGTGAATGTAGCATATAGATCAGATCAGGTCAGGTCAAGTCAGTAGCAATACAGAGATGATTTCCAGAGATAATAATGAAATAAAATCTTGCTTTAATATCAGTATTATGATGATATACTGACAGTGACTAATGGGGCTTGCATTTAATTGATAACCTGTCACTGAGTCATGTGAAGACCTGTAGAGAAGTAGTTTCTCTTGAGGTTTCAGTAAATTTATCCTTATGATTGCTAAGAGTATGTAGTTAATATTAATTACACATTTTTGACCCTTTAATGTCAAACCCTTCAAAACTCAATATCATGTAATTTTTATCTAATGAGCACCTGAAAGCGAGGTTTTGTAAAACATAACCTGCCAAGGTGGAATTGCTCATTCCTGTTTGTTATTATGAGCACTGTTTTGTTGTGTACCAAAGCATGTGTATCATTTTAATTAGTCCTTAGCCTTGAGTATCTAGAAGCAGACTATGTAACACTCACAGTAACCGTAATTACAGATAATAACAAGTTTTGCATGATATTATTGGTGTAGTGACTTTGTAATATGCATAGACTTGACAGCATACTAGGAACGTATAGTTAGTAGCAGCATTTATTAGATATTAAATCATGTCATTGAAATCTCCGTGGTCATTAATGTGCTTTGTCTGTTATAAAGAACAGGAATATAAAAAGTAGGCATAGTAACGCCTCACGCTTTACTATGATTTCATTCAAACTGTCATTTATGAGCCTTTAATTTTCATATTTCCAAGCAGATAGTGTAAGTGTCCCTGATGGTTTGCTTGTAGCAAGTGTCTCTCGGTATTATTGAATTTTTTGATATGCTGTAGTGACTTTTGATGTGCTTTTCACATCGCAATATAACTGATATATCCACGTGTGTATATATATATGAACGTCTCTGTTGGGTGTGTGTTTACACTGTCCTCTCATTCAGTCCAAGCCGGAGATTGTCTTGCTTGTTGAAAGCCCTGCACTGTCTCATGCTAGATTGGCCATTGTGTAACATTGCACGGGTGCTTGTCTGTGCTACCAGCACTGAACCACAGGGCTACGTAACTCTGAGCTTGTTTCTACGGTGATGCCTCAGGGCTTCTCAGCAATGAGAAAAAGCAATTACGGTAATGCTCTCCAATGTGACTCCTCATTTGTTCAAACTTGCACGCCTTGCTTGTCCTGCCTCCGTGGGCGTGTGCGGGCCTTACATTTGTTGGTTGTATATTTAGTGCAATGCAAGATGACAGTGGGTCAATGCTTCATTTGCTCTTGAGGAGTTTTAGTGTGTCACTTACTGTAACATTATGTTTTCGCATGGATAGCACAATACCAGATATTCTTCCATAACAATAAAGGTTCCTTAATACCTTTTGGTGTTGCCAGTATAATCCACAGAAAAATAATTTTTTCTCTCAGGTTTTGGTCCAAGTTGGAGTGTCACAGATATTTTTATGGTGTCCTTCAGCATAAAGAAGTCATCTAGTATTTAAACAATGACTGCACTTCCTTCTCTTCATGAGGAAAATTGCTGTGGCTCAATGCTTTTGCTTTGTTATCTTCTCTTCTCTTCTCAGAGACACTGAGAAACTACTTCTCACAGTATGGGGAAGTAGTAGATTGTGTCATCATGAAGGACAAAACTACAAATCAGTCGCGAGGCTTCGGCTTTGTTAAGTTCAAAGACCCCAATTGTGTACGGACAGTGCTGGAGACAAAGCCACATAATCTCGATGGAAGAAATGTAAGTATTTTAACAACAGAAGAGCAGATGGTTGAATCAAACGCAGTAATCTGCCGGCGCTTTCTGTGAGAAAACTGAGAAAAAAACCTTCATATTGTATTTCATCATCCACCAGTTAGAAGTTATTTAAGGGAGAGGACAGGTTTTCTTTAGGCCATACATGCCTGGAACCATTAGTACAGATGATGCACTTTGGAAAGACTGACATTAGTTTGCCCGACAAGATTTACCTGTTTAAATGAGTGAAATTGAAATAGGGATGGGTTTCTCCCACGTGCATCAAATCAGTTTCATTCACGTGAGATTTTTCTTGGTTTGCTGTGCTGATAGAAACAGTGCGGGGGGTGAGGAACATTTGAAGGTGCCTTTATTTTAGGCTAATGGAAAACTCTCTCTGTTGTTAGATTGACCCGAAGCCATGTACTCCCAGAGGAATGCAGCCTGAAAAGTCTCGAACCAAGGAGGGCTGGGTAAGAGGAATCTGATTTCTTCTGGGGATGCTAGGCTAGCTGTTTCTACTGGAATAAACCTGGAATAGACCCCAGCCTCTCCGTCCCCTCCTCTTCTGGAGGTTAGGCTATAGCTTGTTTTAATGAGGCGACCTTGAGCTTTTAAGTGTAAATTATATATTTTTTTTCTTTAAAGTATAATAATTTTCTTTTTTCCCCCCATCGTGACAAAAACACAGCCTTTATTACTTTGAGGTCTGGATAACTCACAGAAACATTAAACAATCTGTGACTTCTGTCAGCTTCGATCTCTTACTGCAGGGACTGCAGCAATATCAGCCACTCTCTGGTACAGCTTCCACTTATTTGAAATTGAAGTATAGAATTGTGACATTTTAAAATGTTCCTGTATAACGACACTAAATTAAAATACAGCTGCATGATTGCATTAACTTTTTTTTTTTCTAGCCGTCTTATCTGAAATGTGATGTTCTTGTAATTGCCCTCACACATCGAGGTATTATTAAGGAGGGTTTGAACATGAGTTGGCTAATGTGGTGCATCGCTCTCAGCAACAAATTTTCTGAAAGGCAGAAATCTCCGCTCTTGCTCGGATAATTTGTGGGTCGATCAACGATGCTTATCAAACCCCTGCAGACCTATTATAGCCATTTTGTCCCTTTGGGCAGCGGGGACTTTAGTTTTGCTGTCAATATAACGTTTTCATAAGTTGCTTATTTGGCTGTAAGCAGACTGTATGTCAGAAGCTTTTAGAAATGCGGCTCTTTGCTTGCTGCTGCTGCTGGAGCCCCTTTCACTGGCTTTAAGTCATGCAGCTGGTACTGAATGTTTTACTAAGTAAACACAAGATGTAATTGTTAGAAATCATTGTTGTAAACAGCCTCTAGCCCTTACGGCATGAGTGCAGTGTACAGCAACGGCGAAACGCTTAGTGGTTGAGAATAAGTGGAAGAAGCCGTGTTCTCTGATCTGTGGAGACTAGTCTTTGCATTGACATGACATGTTAAGAATTATACCCCAGGGCAAGAGGAGAACCTAATTTCTTCTGCACTGTCTGAATAGATGATGGCTAACTGGCCCCTTCCCAGAGTGATCCTGTAAGAGACATTGAAATCCATACACTCCCTGTTTTTTTTCAGAAGGGCAGCAAAGCTGATAGCAATAAATCAAAGAAGATATTTGTAGGTGGAATCCCCCATAACTGCGGCGAGCCTGAACTCAGGGACTATTTCAATAGATTCGGAGTGGTGAGTATTGCCAAGTGCACAATACAAGTCAGTTCATTATTGTCATTAAGAGTGCTTGAATGGATGTGACATTGAACAGGGTCAGTACTACAGCATAAAAATATATGGGGCGAGATGCGATAGGACGATTCATTATTTTTCCAAACTGAGCAAGAGTATTTAACTGGAATAAGAACGGACCCTTACCAGATTTCTAAAGCTGAGCCACTGTTTCCCTTTGTCCCATTCAAGGTCACAGAGGTGGTAATGATCTATGATGCGGAGAAGCAGAGGCCCCGAGGTAAAAGCTGATCCTGTCCTTTCCCTCCCCTCTCCATACCTTACCATATTAAATCTAATGACAAACTATTCTGCCCCCCCCCCCCCCCCAAAAAAAAAAAAAAAAAATCCCATTCAGCCCCAGCGATCTCGTTTAGTTAATGCACTGGAACGGGAATTTTGTTCATGGTAAATACAAGCATTAACTGGAACCCATACTAGGTTACTACAGTCAATATCAACCAGTTTTTATTATTGCTGTGGAAAAAAACACTGCCCGCTGAGGCTGCATTAAATTCCTCAAGATAAATGAAGGCAATAATTGTGCATTCGTATATGTATTTTTATAACATAATAACGCAAAACTTTAGCTCAACCTGTGTTGTACATTATCACAGTGGGAATATGTGAATTTTGCATAGGTTGTCTAGCAAACTGGTGTCATAAGAGCAAATTAACTGGCTATCATGAGCGTAACTAGTTCATTAGCATTTAGTGTAAGTGATGGCTTCACTTTTTCAAGTATGTAAACAATAGTTGGGTAAAATGAAGAAGTAAAATTAGGAAACTACTTTTTGGTGTAATTTTTCCTCTTGCTCGTATTCACTTCACTTTCAGTGTAAGAGATGGAAGCAAAGTCCACAGTCCTTGTTTATTTGGAGCTAACTTGAGTCTAAAAAAGTCAAACAAAGTTGGTATCTTTCAAAATCTGACACTGCAGTGACCTTTAAACTGGAACCGCTTAAGCAGAGATCTCTTCATAGTGAGTGTAACTAGGAGGACTAAAGACACTTAAGAACTGCTGAATATTTCAGTTTTTAAAAAAGAAAAACAAATACACCTTAAAACAAATATTGACACTAGATTTTTACGTATCAAACGTTTTGTTTGTTTTGTGGCTGTCGCTGTCCATAACCAATCAAATGTAACGTGATATTTAATTACCAGTTAACCTCCCCAGCATTATTTGGCCTTCAAAATGACATTGAAAAAATATGTTGTGCAGTTTTAATACAGCTTAGTCAAAATATTCCATTCCTAGTGCATTTTGTCATTTTCTTTACAAATAGCTGAAATAAAAGGTATAAAAACATATTCTTAAAAAAAGAAGAAGAAAACAACGCATACTAAGGATGCAAATTTGTCTTGAAAACCACAATTAATCACCATGAAGTAAAATGACTTATTTTATCTTTTTTATTTACTAAAACTGTTTCCACTAGTTATTAAAAATGATCTCGGAAACAAGCTAAGACTAACTAACTGAAAAAGAGACATTTTGCAGGAAAAATAGGTGCTCAAAAAAACACAGTACTTAATCACACTGTGCAACTGGCGTATTGAGAACACTTTGAGCGTGTGAAGGGGGGGTTTGTCCTTCAAAGAGGCTGGTTGCAGCCTGTTGTCTTGAGAACAATGGAATCATTTTAAACCCTTTTATTTTCCTTGGACTCCTCAAAACTTTCAGAGACCTAATTTTGAACTTCAGAAAGGACCTTTTATGTTTACCCACTTAAGTCATAAATGTATCATGAGTGTGTGACATGTGTCGACACTTTTAGCACGGATGGCCTCGCTGGGAATCAGACCCGTGCCACCGGACGCGATGGTGTCAGGCCCTGCCCACCGAGTTACAGTCACAGCTGCTTCATCTGCATTTGTCCTACATAGAAACGATGAAGCGGTCACTGATCCACAACACGCACCCCGCCTCTCCCTTCAGAACCCACTCTCTGTTCACTCTCTGTTGGGGAAAAACCCAGAATAGTTTGCCATTGGATTTTAACATGATCTATTGCACAAGTAACAACCATTACATAATCTTTAATAGTGTAAACCTTCTTTTACTAAAACCGTTAGATGCTGATCATTGGAATAAGTTTTCTTTACCTTTATTTAGAAGTAACTGATACTTGTATCTTAAATGGCATAGTATGTGTTTTCCCATACGTAGAAAGTTAAGTATTTTTGTAAGTAAGCCCTTTCTATTTTTTCTTTCTTCTGTCCCCCTTCTTCTTGTGAATGGTTTGAATGTGATTAACGGTGTCTCTTAAGATTTGTCTTTTCTCCTTTAGGTTACTGTGTATTGATGGGTAGCACAGAGGTACAGGCCAAACGTAAATGCAGCCAATTTATTTTATTTTATCCGTTTGTTTTATTTTTTTTCTTTTTAACTTGGTAAAAAATGAGGTGTACACAAAGCTGCATCTATGCTTGCCTGGACTTGACTGATGATTTCACTCTATTAAGCTTAAGAGCAATTTAAGGAAAGTCCTGTCGCAACAGTGTCTCACGGTTGTGATCACATGATGCTGCAGCATAATTATTATAAATAATAACCTTTTTCCCTACATATAATGAATTTTAGATGTAAAGATTTATATATATATAAGATGTAACACAGACTCTGTGTGGACCAATCTTGCTTAATTGTGACCCCAAAAGGTCAATATTGCCTTGGGGAAAAAAGTCTAACTAATTACAACTTCAGTAATAATTTATCATTAAATATTTTCAATAATACAAATTTGTAATATAAAGTTTACTCTGATAAAAAATACTTGATTTCAGTAAATTTGTGTCATTTCTGCATTAAACATACTTAAACTGTCACTTGAATATAACAAATCTTGGTAATTAGTAAGCCAATAATTTGAAAATGTCAAATTATGTTCTAGTTCTCCATCCAGATGGTCTGTAGTTTGTTAGCTGATATTTTAGGCTGGGTAAAATCCTTACCAATGACACCATATGTCAAAATCTTTAATGGGCCAACTTGGTTTTACATTTAGGTCGGGGAACGGGTCATCGACAGGTGTTAATAATAGCAGTAGATCACGAGTCTTGGGAATGTTTGGCAGGGTACTAGAGGTCTCTGAAAATCTCAGTTGTCTTGTAGGACATTTAATTGGATTCAGGTTAGGTCCCCAAGTAGAGATGCACACCCAACCCAATTCTGCCACAGCGGAAAGTTAATCAGATTGAAAGTAGATCACTGCAGCACGCAGCAGCTTGTTGGCTCTGCAGGGTTTTGCCTCAGATCATCAGATGAAATAATTTCCCGAACAGCCGGCGTGGTCAAAAAGTTGTCGAACTTGTTGATGCACTTTGTGTATTCCCTTGATGAAACAAAACACACCCTGCTCATCAGTGCGGACGATCAGTTGTGGCCTATATCTTTGTGTTACCGTTGTGAGCAATATTTTAATTGTCCATTTTAGGCTTATCCTGGCTGACTCAAAAGTAAAATACTGAATTTGGGAAAGCTTGGAGAAAGCTTTAGGCATTCTACAGTTTGTGTTTCTCCATATTTTTTGTGATGCATTAACAATGGCTGTTGCGAGTGTGTGCTCCACAGCAATATACCACGGGACAGATCAAGGTGGGGTTTGGATGAAACAGCATGAAGTAATTAATTGTAATATTGGCTCAATTGGAATTCATCAGCTACACGTTTGACCTTTTTATGTGACATTTCACTTTAAATCAAACCTGTCACCCTTCATGTTTAACATTTAAGCACTCCATTATTAATCTTCACCAAAAGTTTCTCTGCACAGTAAAGTTTCCTTTAATTCCCCAGGCGTTAGTCTTGGATTTGTATTGTCTGCGACGTCATCCGAACCCCAGGAGCCTCTTGCTCAGTCTTGACGGATCCTCACTCTGCTGAAGCCCAATACTGTTCTTCATCTTGTGTTGTCACAACCCCCCTGCTACCTTGATTCACTCTTGGTCGTTGGCTAGGTTTTGGATTTATTACTTTCGAGGCCGAACAATCAGTGGACCAGGCTGTCAACATGCATTTTCACGACATCATGGGCAAAAAAGTGTGTAGTTGTAGTTTTATTTTACCCTTAAGATCAAACTGAGGCTTGGGCGACAGAGCAGGAACTGTACTGTGATGCTGCTTTATTGCTCAGAGCTAATTTTCTAGTGGCTTCCTATTTGTGAACGCAGCATCATACGGCTCAAAATTAAGTGTCTAATATCTTAAATTGATGTACGTAATATTTTTTTCATCACATTACATGCCTATCTCCCACTTATGCTTTCATAGTTTCTAAAAGCCCTCATCCTTCTCTTGCTGCTATTACAGTTTAAATTGTCGCCCAAGGCTTTGTTTAAACTGACCACTCCTTTAGGATGTCTAAACAAGTTAAATTGTATTCTACGAATTTCAATTACAGTAATTTTCTGGCTCTTGATGTGCTAAAATGGAAACCAAATGAATGAAATGCAAGGCTTTAAATCCAGCAGTCTTCTTGAGATTTTAACTCACCTAAAGGATTGGTCGAGTCACTTCTATTTTTGTTTCTTTTTTTCTTTGTTGTTTTCTTTTCTAATGTTTTGTTGGCAGGTCACTTACACGTCAACATGTTTTATTTTCTTTGTTTTTCTTTTTGAAAAGTTAAAGAAAAGCTCAACTCAGTGACCTCAGTTGAAGAATCTCCATACTGTGTCTGTCAATTCTTTAAATCTACCAAATGAAAGTCTGCCACTTCACAGTGTTTGCTTTAACTCGGCGCGTGAAGCAGATGGATGAGGTTTAGTGTACAGAGTCAGTTCAGATAGTGTCAGGTAGGCCGTCCGTCCGGTAAAGTAACAGTAAGTCTACTGTGTTGTAATATTTAAGCACAGCTCTTAACCCGCTGCCACACCTCTGATTGTACCATTGTACGGACAATCCAGCTGACACCTCACCTGAGTTACAACCAAACAAAAAGACATTGACTTGGGTTAAAATGGGACTTTATCCGCTCCCTAGGAAAACCACCCCGGAGAGGCAGTAAATGAAGACAGCCTCCTCCTTGCCCTCCATGCAAATAGTAATGAGTTGTGGGCATGAGAAAATGATCGCAGTACAGTTACATCCACTTATGCATATCCTGTTACTGCACATGTGGTTTTAGTGTTTCAAGGTCAGTCCATAGTAGCTGACACGTTGAAGATCTTTCGTAACGTATGTTAAAATGATTTTGGAGAGACACACCTCTCTGTGTCTCCCTTCTTAGATGTTTTTCTCTGTCAAACTTGACTTGGAATAAGTACTCGAGGGAGAACGAACAGTGACAAGATGGCTGTAAAACGAACCGATCGCCACTCTGAATTGGATGTGACATTCAATAAAGACCTCAACTGGAGTCCTCAGTCCAAACCACAAATTAAATGATATTATTAACTACCAGTTAATTTTCTCCAGAAAATACCTAAGGCCAGGAAATTTGAAAGCTTCCCTGAAATGGATTTTATTATTTGCCAATTTAGAACGGCAACAGATTTTCATTCAGATGTCACTGATTATTACATGAAAAAGATGAGCTGAATCCAATTTTGCCAGCCCGACCTGTATACTCTCTGCTGGTACCCGCTCCCCTTGACTTTGCCCTCATTTCTTGTAGGATTGGGGGCTCAACTTAATCCATTGTTCTTGACTTGACATTACCTTACGCTGGGACTTGAGGGAGGCTGGGAGATATGAGTTACAAAATTAGAAATTGGAGCACATCAAACTGTGGAACAAATCCCAATTCTGCTGTTGGGGACTGTACAGAAGTCACGGTATCCATCACTCGTAGCTGAGATGCCCAAGGGAGAAAGTGCTCAGGTAACCGGCGGCGAGGCCACTCCCGGAAACATGTGCATGTAATTAGGTCGACAGAGAAGGAAGAGGGGAGGCTGGGGAAGGTGGTAACACCTTAAAGCAGGGAGGAATTTGCAATTCGTTTTCCTCCCGCAAGGTGACCCCAATAACTCAACCTCTCAGTCTATTTATGGTTGGCTCCCCCTTAGTCTCAGCCTGTTTCTTTGCTCTGGTTAAGTGCTGGCAGCTTTGCCTAGTTATAGACAGCGAAGTTTTGTTATTGGGTCAACACATTCGTACTTGACTCAAGGTCACCCAATTTTTTTAATATATATTTATATATAATTAAAATTAAATCAAATGTGGCATTTAATTAACATCGTCTTTATCAAAAATGAAGAAACAACTTGTCAAATTTATGGACAATTGTTGGGATCCAGTTTGAAAACTGTTTTCTCACTTTTGACACAGTATGAAGATTCAGATTTAGATTGAATAAAAAAAAAAAAGACTGTTCATTTGTAGTTTCTGCATGTTTACCTTATATTCTGTTAGAGCTGAGATACCGATCTACATCCATTCCCCCTTAAAACTTATACCAAAACAAAATACAAATGAAATTCTCTGTAAGCGTTAGCTGGAGAAAGGTAAGTCATGACCTTCCATTAGATGTCTTTATCTTTTATATAGGGTAGTTAATGACAAAGAAAAAGACAGACATCTATGTTTCTCAGGTACCTTTCAGATCTTGGATCATTGATTGGCTCTTTGATTTTCTTTTTTCTTTTTTTTTTCCTGGCCAGTGAAATTCCCGATTAACACAGAGTACCTGAGACACATAGCCATACAGCCCTTCTGGCTACACAGTAATATTAATTTATATATAGCTGGCCCACATAAATTAAATAAACATAAAGTAAAATATTTCAAACTGGCCCAAATTGCTGAGATTAAGTATCAGAGCTAGGACAGGTCTGTCTAGGTGAGGGGCTTCATGGACTTTTTACTGGTGTTGCCAAATGTGCCCTCCTTGTCCTTTGTCCAGGTGGAAGTAAAGAAGGCCGAACCTCGTGACAGCAAAGCTCCTGGCCAGCTTGGCCCTGGCCAGTGGGCGCCCAGGGGCATCTTGAGTGCAGCTAATGGTTGGACAGCACAGCCTGCTCAGGGCTGGCAACAGCCTTATGGGCCACAGGGTGAGTGGGAACAAGTCCCAGAGCAGAGCAAGAGAAGCTCACTGTTCAGAGGAAAATCCAATGTTTAATCCTCTGCTTAAACATTAGGTTTGTATGTATGTGTGACAGTTTGAATACTTAACTGTTATGTGAACATTTTATGTTTTCAGTCTAATCTTTTTTTTTTTTTTCCTTCTCCTTCCTAAAGGAGTGTGGGTGTCAACTACCGGCCAGCCCATAGGTAGGTGTTAGTCCTCCACTTGACAACACAAAAACTGTCTTCTTTTTGTTATTTTTGTGGCTTTCTTGCATGTTGTGTAACTGTTAGACTGCAGATACATGTGTTTTTGCCATGTGATCATGTGCTTATCTCAAAACGCTTGTGTGACAGCACAGGGCTCGCACACGGTGTGGCCCATGGACCGATGACAGTTAACAGTACATGTTATCACTGATTCATAAAGGCTGAGGCTGCTGATAATTTGCTGCTCGAGACAGATGGCAGCATTGAATGGATTCCGGGCCTCCCTCTGCTATTGGTCAGGCTCGGCTTCATATCACCACCTCCGGGTCAACCTGCAGCGCTCGCTGCAGTGTCGACTCTGTGCTCGCTCGCAAGATCCTTCAGTTTCAGATAGTCGTCTGCTTCAGTCTTTAAACAACTTCTCTGTGCACACTTTTAATCAGAGAATCTGTTTGATGCAGTTCATATGTATCCTATTATTGTCAACTGTGCTCAAGTCTCATTAGTCTTTGTTATTCTGTGTTGGGGTAGGCGGGTATGGACCTCCGTTACCAACAGGCCGGGGAACCCCCGCCCAGCCTCCGTCGCCTTTCAACGCATTCCTGGTCACGACCCCGGCAGGTGGCTTTGCTGCACCTCAGGGCTACCCTCAGCAGGGCTACAGCACCGCACCTCAGTTTGGTCAGTCGTACTAACTCAGTCACATTTTACTACTGTTGATTGGTAATGCTGTGTATATAAATAAGTTAATAGTTTGGAGGCCAGTAGACGGTGACTTTTATTTATTTTTAAAGCATTTGAAAAAAACATGTTTAGTGCAGCGTCACTGAAGAAAAGAGAAGAAAATTTGAAACAATGATTTAAGTCATTTTTGTAACAATCACAGTTTATATTTATGAAAGACATATATTGGCCACACAGAGCTTTGGTTCTTATACCCCTTATGTGGTCTAGGTTTAGACTGTTAGACAGTGATATTAGGTGAATAAATGGTAGTTAGTGCCTTGACTAGAAGTGTTTTTTGTGAGGTGGTAATGGTGTCAGAAATCATCCACTTTTTTTCTCCTTTTTTGCACACAAATGGTATAAAATGCTAAAGCAACGCTAGAAAACGTTCTTTGGGGTGAAAAACAAATACAAATCATGATATGTCTTTCCAACAGGTTACAGTTTCGGCACACCACAAGCAGACCAGTATGCTCCACAGGTTCCTCCTCCACCCACGACTCCAGGAACTGCACCGCTGGGCTTTGCACCAGCCACCACACCGACTCAGGATTTGAGCAAAGCTCCCACCGGGCAGCCTGACTTCACTTATAGCCAGTATGGTAAGACGGGCTTTGTGCATAAAGAATGCCGCCTCTTTTCTCTCCCAGTTGATTTTTCTTCACCTCTCGGTCCTGCCCGTCTCCCTGGTTATTTTACTGGGTGCAGCTACAGCCTTTTTAGGTTCATGAGTATTCCCCTTAGACGAGCAGGAGCTTGCTGATGGTACCATTTAGCTTGAACGGCTACACATGCATACATGCTTTCTGCATAAATGAACCCCTCTGGCTCTGCCAAGAAGATCACTGCTGAAGTTTCGCCATACCCAGGAGTCCTCAGCAGTCATTTCAGTTGAGTGTTTCCGGCGGGCCCTGGATTGATAAAAGATTGGTAGGTCTTGGTAGGTTTGAATTAGATCATCCTGCCTTGCGATGTTTGTTTTTCCTGTTTTGTTTTGTTTTTATTTTAAAAGGATTCCAAACTTGGCCTGAACGTGCAAACCATTTGATTTGATTTGGTTCAGGCACTCCTGCTTTTCAGTTAATCCCTTCGACCCTTCCTCCTCTTCCATGTTGATGACTTTGCTGGCTTCTTTTCCCAGACTTGGCACGATTCCCATAGAAGAGCACCAGCATGACAATATTATCTTATGAAACACTGTTTCTGGAATATGCCGTGTCCAATCTGCCAAGCCACCTATCAGATTTTTTTCACCATGTTCATCATTGTTATTGCACTGGAGCTTTGCATGCTTGTCTGCAGAATGTGACCTTTTTCCACTCTGTGTTGTAAATGCATAGAGATATTGGAGTACTGGATTAGTCATTTTTGACTAATGTGTCTGTAGGTTGTACTTTGTGGTTTCTGTCTTTGTGGTCTTTGAACAGTGCTGTCGACCAGTCTAACAAAACCTTTAGATCGTGTCGGACCACAATAAATATTCGTCCTGGATCTCGACTGAGCTCTGAAACTGCTGCCACATTTCAGTCAGCATTCAGTGCCTTGAAAATGAGACAGTTCGCCAATCCACTTTAGTAGAAAACAATGATTTGTAGTTTGTATGATTTTAAGACTGTTAGGGGCCTGAATCACATGTTGTAAATGCACGATGGAGAACCGGCGATCACGCTGAGAGCACAAATGGAGGCCGGAAGTTTTCAGATGTGAAACAAAAGGCCGAGATAAAAACTAACCAGCATCCATGGAAAAGGAGCAGTCTTTGTCTTTGTTCAACACCGAGCCATTCACTTACATAACCACACAGGCAGATAACAGTCAGATGCTCATTCATAGCTTCCATCCAGTTTCTTGGCTGACTGGTGTTATTTTATTTTTTTATTATCATTATTATTATTCTGACTTGGCTTCCAGCTGCTTCCAACTGCTTAATCCCACATCTACAGCAGTCCTGCGATTGCTGCCAGTCATGACAGGTGCCCATCTTGTTCAGTGTTTTGTGCCTGTGCTTATCCTCCATCCAGCTTTTTTGCTTTTACTGTTCAGGCACTTTGTCTGCTTATCAGTTGGTAGAAACAGCAGAGCCTTGCGAAGGTTTTGTGAAATGAGCATAAAACACGGAGCTCAAAAGTGACGCAAGATTTAGATACTGGATAAGTTTGTGTGTAAAACTAGCAAATGGTTAGTTTGGCTTTTATTAAAGTGATGCTTGTCTTAAAAGCAGCAGTTGTCGAAATGCCCTTGAGTGCACTGCCAAGGTGCATTCGATTTCTAAGAGAACTGGGGTTATTCAAGTAACCAAACAAAGAGATGAAAAGTGCACACAGCAGTGACACAAAGACTCCAAGTGGCGTGTTGAAAGATGGGAAACAAGCCTAGAAATGTGTATCATGGTAGACCAATGGTTCTCTTTCTTGTTTCTAGCTGCTTCCTACCTGTATTTTCAGGCTTCTTAGGCTACGTTCACACTGCAGGTCTTAATGCTCAATTCCGATTTTTTGATCAAATCCGATTTTTTTTGTCAGCGTGTTCACACTACAAATAAAATGCGACAGCAAACGCGCTCTAGTGTGAACGCTCAAAGCGGCCCGCATGCGCAAAAGAAGACGTCACACACAACGCGCTCTGTTTAGACCCAGAGCAAACTATATTGTTTGACTGATGGCCCTTAATATAAAGACTTCGGACTTCATGTTTTCCAATTTTTGCTTTAAGTTATTTTGTTATTTACATAATAATGTAGATAACCTAATAATGATCCTTATTGCTGTTTTAGAGGAGCGGTGCTTCAAAGGATAGTTGCAGATTTATGTAAGAATCTGCAGGTTATGCAGTACAAATAAAATGTTCACGTTTCTCCAACGTTGTCTTCCCAGCAGTTTCACCGGATGGCCAGGAAGCGTTCGCGATGTCTTCTCGGGCGCTTCTTTGGCGCTGATAATTGGCGTCTGTCTTGTATGTGAAGGTTCTCAGTCATCCAGGTCATCGTAGTCAAAGGAGCTTGGCGTCTGTGGCGTCTGTTTCGTGTCAGTGACGTAAAAGATGGATTTAATGCGACTTGACCGTTCACACAGCAGTTGCTTTCTGAAACATCGGATATGTATCGGATTCAGTACCACATACGAAAGTGACCCAGATTGGATTTGAAAATATCAGATTTGTGCCGTTCACACTGTCACACCATGATCGGATATGGGTCGCATAGGGTCAAAAAAATCGGATTTGATGCGCTTTCGCCTGCAGTGTGAACGTAGCCTTTCTTGTTTTGGTGGTTTTTTTTGTTGTTGTTTTTTTTTTTAGAACAATGCACATTTCACAAAATTTTGCGAGACCAGGCTGGCATGATAAAGTCAGGTGTGCTAGCAGCTAGCTCACACATGTGTTTTGACTTGTAGGCGAAGCTGAAAAGAAATGCATCGCGGAGCATAGTGCAGACCCATTAAATAAGTATAAATGTACAGCTCTGTTAGCTCAGTAAGAGGGGGAACTATGTAAAGTAGTCGGCCAGCCGTATGTGGGTTCAGTCAACCTGGTCTCCTCATCTCCCTGATAGGCTTGGGTAACTACCCTCAGGACCCCTCTGCCTACGGACCAACGCGTCCTTCTCACAGTTATGGTCAGGATGAGCAGGGAGGATATAGTTCAGGTAGGTGCCAGCATCGTCTTCTCCAACCACAAAAGCAGCATTTGTTCAGTAATACAGTATTTAGAGCTGCAACTTGGTTCTGTGCCTCTTTTCTTTTGCTCTGTGTTGAGTATTTTGCATGTACATTTTGCATGTACATACAAATTACTATGTGTATTCTTGTATAGTAAAATCAAGCTATTGCAAGCCCCAAAGCTGAGTGGATTTGAAAGAAATTTAAATTTGGCAAGCTTAGCCGTAGGCCTGCCATTTCCCTCAGCAGCTGTAGCTTTACTATACCAAGACTGACCACATCCTCCTTTTTTGTTCACTTTCTCAGTCTGCATTGCTTTGCTGGTTGTTAAAGGATGATCTAATTGTCAGAAAATGTGTTCATGGTTCAGTTATCTCTATGCATCAGCAGTCCATTCAACCATTGTTTCTTTTCCCCATGTACTGTCTCCACATTTTAGCTAAAGGGGTGAGAAAGGAAAGAAGATTTAAAGAAGGCCACGAAACCAGTAAATTTCAATTTCTCTCAGATTGTTCTGTCTCACGGTCCTGTTGGGATCACTCCTCGTTTTAGTTCTTTTCCTATGAAATTTTGTTGTATTTTCCAATTTTCACCATTTTCTTTCTCTCTTTTCAATTCAGTTATTCAGAACTATCTCTGAAATGCTTTGTTTTCTGTTTGTTTGGGGTTTTTTTTGGTGACACATTGATACCTTCACTCTTTTGTTGACTGGCTTTTACCAGGGTTGGAAAATAATCAGTCGCCATGAGCAGGTTTCAGCAGTGTGAGCAGTGCTTCTGTTTTTTGATAAGATTGGTTTCCTTCCCTGGGAGTCACTGTGGTTCCCTCGTGTGTTTGCAGGGAGATGGTGCCACCGCGTGCGTGTGCGTACGCGAGAGTGTGTGTGTAGGAGAACATCCTAAGTGTCTCAAACAATGTTTTCCTCAATGAAGCCATTTAAAAATGTCCCTTAAATTCAACTGAAATTTTCCTTTTACTGTTTGTTTGAACGCACACAGGTTTTGACATAAAAAGGCTCATTGAAGGATTACACAACTAGTTGGAAAAATCCACCATGAAACACTGAGAAAACTTAAATTTACTGTCAAGCAGTGCTTACTCTGTTTCTAAACCCCTGTTGTTGCTTGGTTAGAGCTGCACAAAACTGCTTCAAAGCTGCAAATGTAGCACCTGCACCAAGCAACACGCACAGCAGTGTGTCCTGTAATATTTGGAATATGGGAGCAGTGTGAGTACAATAAGAAGCAGTTGGTGTTAGATTTTTCCTTAAAGTACAAACTGTGAATATTTTACATTAAATTTATTCAGTAAAAGGATTTAAGGCATTAGCCTTCTATCGAAACACCATCCGGTGAACCTGACATTAACGTCACCCCCTCTGTCCTGTCTGCACCTGTCCTGTGTGTTGTTCACCTCAGGGTACGGTCAGGACCTGACAGCCTTCGGCCACAGCTTCGCAGACCCCAGCCAGCCGACAGCCTCGTATGGTGCACCGACAGCACAGCCCGCCGCTGCTCCCCAGCCTGCCGCCAGCGCATTCGGCAGAGGGCAGAACCACAACGTACAGGGCTTCCACCCGTATCGACGCTGACCACCACCACCATCACCCCTTCCCAGGCAGGACCGCTGTGTAAAGTTCAAAAATAAACAAAAAATAAGAAGTCAGGGAAATCTGTGTTCTTGCTAAAATGCAAAACTGGAGTTCTGGATGTTCTTTAGGAATGTTGAATGCACACAGTTTGTGAAACAGGGATTCCAGTAAATTTAAAAGGGTATTTTTTGTCTTTTTTTAAAATTATTTTATTTTATTTTTTCGTTTTGCATAAATTAAAAAAAACATTCAGCAGAAAGAAGCTTTTATTCCCCACCCCCAACCCATGTTTTATAGTAGAAATAAACTACTTTGCAATAATTTTGTCTGGTCAAACACTAGCACAGAGACTATATGTAAAGAGACTTGCCTAGGAATATGTATATTTATGGTGGACACAAATGAAAACAGGGTCTCAAGTTTCCTCAGCTTTAAATTATAGGGAAAATGTTTTTATTTTTCATTTGGTGAATTTTGTTTACTTTCTGAGCCTTTAAAGTTTGTTTAAAATGGAGATTATGAATATATATATTATACACAAACTGTGCAATTTTTTAAAAAGGAAAAAAAATTTTGTACTATAAATGTACACTTTGCTTGTTTTTTTATTTAAAGATGTAGACTTCCCTCAGGTGGCTGTTTTGGGTGCATTTTTGCACTTATGCAAAAAGTAAAGATGAAAAATTATTACAAAAATAAACGTTTTAAGGATAAAATCATTCTCGCTGATCTCAGTTGTGTTTCTATCTGGTGTTTTGTTTTGTGTTTTTTTTTTTTTTTTTTTTTTTTTTTTTTTTTTTTTTTTTTTTTAAAGGAGGAGGTGGTGGGGGGGGGGGGGTAAAACAATTGAAAAAGGACTGATGTAAGTATCTTTTGATTGTTTTTAAATGAAGGGGTCACATTTGGCTATTGTCACATTGACAAGGAAGCAAATCATTTTGGGTTCTTCGAAATTAAAATAGCAGGTTCAAGTTTGAAATATTGCCCAGTAAAAAAGGAAAAATACACGCTGAAAGACACGAAAAACAAACGGATCGAGTATATCCGGGTTAAAGGTAGTAATTTTCTAACGTTGCTCGGGTTTGATTCACAGTCTATTTCCGCGTTGCTATCGTTTTAGCATCAAGCTACCTGGTCTCTGAAAAGTAGTTAACTCTAATTAATCACGACTTTTCAACACAGACGTCTATTCGACAAAAGGAGATACAGCTTCAAGGTCTCCGGGCAGAAAGTGTAAGATGGAAGCGAGTGGTTACATTTTGTTTTGCTTTGTTTCTTACGTTTTCTGTTTTGTGCTCTTCTGGTTTACCCAATAGCTAGCTTGCTCGTTTCTGTTCTGTTTAATGGGTGGCTAACATGTTAGCTCCCAGCAGCGCATCACAGCCACAGTGAGTTTTGTTATTGGATATAATATATATGCATATAATTATTGGATGGTTAGGCTTTGCAAAGTTTGGCGCTTAGGACACACTCTGCCAGAAGTTTTCTGTTAGCCTGTTATTAGCTTAGACCTTTTAAGTTTACTAGCATAAGTGTCAGCCTGGGCAGAAATAGTGAAACTGAGTCGCTGTTTCTAACGCGAATCTGCGTTTTTATGGTGTCAGTGAAACATAAAAATGTACAGATGTAGAGGACACGGATGTCAAAAATGAAACGCGAGGTTCTCACGGTGTCTTTTGTGGAGTCAAATGAGTCTAATCTACATTTAAGCTAGCAGTCAGAAGTTAAATACAGTGACACAACACTTTCTTGATGCCCTGACAGGTGTTGGGGAATATTCAGTAACATTTTAGCCTGAGGACTGTAAACGTGTAATTGGTATTTTAAGCACCTCATTGTCTCCATTTATCAGGCACTAAAGTTTTTTGGGTTTTTTTTTAACCATATGTAATACATGTTTACATCATCAAGCTATGTTATTTTTTCTTGACTTGTATACTCTCACTGGACATTTATTTAGGTACACCGGGCTAGTTGGACTCCCTTTTGCCTTCAAGACTACCTAAAATCTTTATGGTATAGACTCAACAAGGTGTTGGAAATACTTCTCAGATATTATTGGTCCATATTGACATGACTGAAATTGTCAGCTGCACATCCATGATGCAAGTCTTTCACCACATCCCAAAAGCACTCTATTGGAGATCTGTGACTGTGGAGGCCATTTGAGTACAGTGAACTCATGTTCAAGAAACCAATATGAGATAATTAGAAGTTTGTGACACAGTGCATTATCCTGGTAGAGCAGGTACACTGATGGACATGCTCAGCGACAGCACTGAGGTAGGCTGTGGTGTTTAAACAATGGTCAAATAGTACCAAATTGGCCCTAAATGTGCCAAGGAAAAATCTGCCACACCATTAGGCTACCACCAGCAAGAGGCATTGCTACAAGGCATGAAGGATCGATGCTTTCTTCCACAGTCAAGAATCATCAGACCAGGCAATGTTTTTCCAATATTATGTTGTGCAATTTTGTTGCGCTCATTTAAATTCAAGCCTCAGTTTCCTATTCTTAGCTGACAGGAGTGGTAAATGTGTGGTCTTCTACTGCTGTAGTCCTTCTGCTTCAAGGGGTTGTGAATCCAGAAATGCTCTACTGCACTATAACCTTTGTTTGTTTGTTTGTTTGTTTTTTGAGTTCCCGTTGCCTTCGTTTATGAAACAGTCTGGTCCTTCTCCTCTGACCTCTGACACAGAGAATTGCTGCTCATTGGATATCTTCTCTTTTTTTTAGATCATTCTCTGGTAACCCCCAGTTGAGGTTGTGTGGGGATTTTCCACACAGGAGGAAAATCCCAGTAGATCACCAATATCTGAAATCGTCACACCAGCCTGTTTGACACCAGTAACTATGCTATGTTCAGAGTCACTTAAATCCCCTTTCTTCCACATTCTGATGGTCTGAGTTGCTGCCATGTTATTGGCTGATTAGTGTCAACAAGCAGTTTAACAAGTGTACCTGAAAAGGTGTCCAGTGACTGTATATCATTCTTACTATTCCCAGTGTGGCAAAATCCCTGAAGTTGGCTAACTTCTGGAAAAATACTGCCGTGTGTGCTGTATACTATGTTAAGGATCCAGGCAGCAGAACAGCCTACAGTGCTGCAGTAAAATGCGGAGTTGCAGTGTGAAATTTGCCACACTTATGACACAGACGCTGTAGTGTTCGAGTCATGCAGCTGAGTCACACTCGGTGAGGCTTCACATGAGCAATGCTCAGCTGGAATATGGCAAGCTGAAGAACAGCAGCTTCTCCATGAAGAAGTGCAGAGATGTGGGAGAAGAGCGGGGCCTCAACCCCAGTAACAGTTTCTCTGTTCATAGCCTGTGAGCTTAGCTTAGCTTATGGATTGCTTTCGTTTCTGTTTGCTTCTGTTATTAGACCGAGTTAGACGAGCTGTCGCCATGCTGTTGAATTTCTGTGATCTGGAAAGAAAGTTTCCCAGTTTTTATTCGGTTGCCTGGTGTTTTACAGGGTGTCAGGTCTGGTTCAGTCTGGTTGAACAGTTAATGCACAGAGTAAAGAGGCCGAAAATTGAAGACAAAACAGAAGACGGCGAGGTAAGGTAGGTGAAGCTATCTGACTGTCATTTGGTTTGAATTTTCAGCTCAGTCAAATCATTTTGTAACCATTTTCACAGGTTTAATGAACAAAAAGTTTAAAATAGCTTAAAACTAGTATTAAGATTAACATGTTCATCATTAGAATAGAAGTATTTTCTGACTAATTTAATTAGCTTTGTAGATATTTGATCATAGACTGAATTATCTCACAAGCTAAAATACTGACCTGCTGGTGGGGTAAATGGACCAGTAAACATCAAAGTCTTTAACATCGGTGCTGAATTTCATGCCAATTAATAGCAGCATTTGTTGACTTTAAAAGATCTCTTAGCGGATTTATTTCAACTGCTTAAACCATGGGTGTCAAACATAAGGCCTGGGGGCTAAAATCGGCCTGGCAAAGCGATCCAGTCCAGCCCCCTGGTTAGCTTTGGAAGACGTGAAGCAGTCCGTAGTTGTTTAACTTTACTGTAGGTTTTGCAGCTGATTAGGATTTTCATTCATGTAATCATTATCACCCAAGTATCACACAGGCTGCTTGGACTTATGTAATTTGGGCTGTAAAATTACAAAATTATTCAAATCATTCAGGAGAAGTTGGGAAGCATACATGATAAAATCTAGGAGCAGCCAAATTTTCTGTCTGTGTTCAGGCAGCAGTGCCTTGTGAATGTTTTACTCCACCATGATTTCCCAAATAACCCCGATACTCTCTTCTTCTCCTGAATTTTGTCTCTAGTACAAGCGGTAGCAGAGTTATGGTCGTTTAAAGAACGGGCCCGTAGAAATTACATTTATTTTTCTTACATTGAGATTATTAAGGGATTAAATGCTTAGTTTAATATCTTTAGAAAGGGGAGTTTTAGTGATCTGGCCCACTTACAATCAAAGGGGTCTGTGTAGGGCCCATGATGTAAGGTGAATTTCACATCTGTGGTTTAGAGTGTTTCATATATTTAGGAGCCTAATGGTTTTGTTTTATTTGTGGGCTGAGCGTAGGCAGATCATGCTAATCGTTATAAATGTCTGTCGAAAGTGTGAGAGCAGCACTGGCAGGCATGACCGGGGTGGACGAGCTCTCAGACAGCACAGAGGTGGTGGAGATGGAGGACGTGAATTCCACCCAGTTCCAGGTGGAGAAACATACGTGGGACGGCCTGCGGAAGATCATCCACAACAGCCGCAAAAACACCGGCGTGGTTATCAACAAGGCACCGCACGACTTCCAGTTCATCCAGAAAGACGAGAGCAGCCCGCACTCTCACCGCATCTACTACCTTGGTGAGCGGCGGTTACTGAAACCTGAGGTCTGACACATGAATGGCTGAAATAACATGTCATTTTCTACAAGCGCTGTAAGAAGCCCGAGCTCACAGAGGCATTTTTTAGGGGCCGTGACTTGTTGGCTTGCAGATTCAGTGGCTTCCGTTCAGTCTCTTTGAAAGGTAGCACACGTCTGTGAAAAATCTGTGGATGCAGCTGGTGAGTCAGAGCTGCCAGCCTGCACCTGTTTTCGAGCTCATTTGATTTCCACAGAGCTGCACTGGCTTTAGTGTGTGCTGGAAAAAAATGTGGAACAACATTTTGCATTGTGGACATATTTCTGCTTTTTTCCCCCCCCTCGTCTTGCAGCTGTAGCACACAGGATTCTTGTAAAATGGCTGCTAGTTTTTGTTGCTCTGAGTTTTACATTTTGATACCTGGCTATAGTAAGCTGTGTAATGTTGACTAATTTAGTCAGCTATAACTGCTAACCATAGCTGATGGTTTGGTTATTTTGTCCGTTATAACCAGTCAGACCTTAACAGTTACCGCCTGGTCTGAATGCTCTTTTTATATTTAGACCTTCACTGTGACCAGAAGTGTGTGGTACATGTTGATCTCATGCCTGTTTTTTATCTTCGTGGTGTATTTATGCTGCATTGGCCATCATCCTTTAATTGCTGTTTGCCTCCCCTGACTGTCATTTAGCTGAAGTTACATAGTTTTGCTGTAGAGCCTTCCCAAACTGATTTAATAGATTTGTTGTTCAGTCTCAAATATAGCTAGCCGCACAAAAAACAAACCAAAAACACCTATCTCATGCTTTTAAAATAGCTTCTTACCCATGTTTTATTCCTTCCTTTCTGTGAACTGCATAGTTGGATTATTAGA